CTTTAAACTATGTTTTCCATTTGTCAAATTTGTATTGCAACGATATAATTGCGATTATTATTTGATATTATTTACACCGGACAAGACAGAAAATATACTAATTTAAATTAATGTTACACTTAGAAGACTTAGTGTTATTTTATAGAATGTTACAACTTATAAATGTTTATATTATGTAATGTTTCTTGCGTGTTATATTTACTTCGTACTAATGAACAAGAATTTATAGAAACTATAAATGTTATACTGATATATTATAAATGTATATTATATGTTTATAATACATATTATAAATATATATTATACACGATTCGAAATTAAGTAAAGATTGCGTTCCCAAAGAAAGAATTAAGAACATTTTATTCCATATAATGGTTTCGTACAGTGCTGTAAGAATTACTCTTTCTACGTTATCGCGATATTTTGCTTGTAACAGAAGTTATTTCGAAGCACACCGGCGACTAGAACCGGGAACTTTTAAAAATAAGCTTACCTTTCTGTAAAAATAGATTGAATTTCTATTTGGAGGTAATTCGAAGATTTTGTTCGGATCTCTTATGTCGTAAACTATGACTACCAGTTACTGTACATTCACGACAGGAAGAGGCTGATGAAATATGAAATTGTAAAAAAGATTGGAAAGAATTTACGAATTTATATATTTAATTTTAATATTATTATTATTGTTTTAAATATTTTTAGTTTATTAATTTATATATTTATCACTCTTACAACTTATTCAAATGATTAAGGCAAGAATGAAATTTCTATTTGCCTCCTGTTCCTTGCGATTATTGTTGATGCAAACAGTTTCGATAATTTGCATAAGTTAATCGATTTTTGATTAATTTATTTATATATTTATCGCTTACAACTTATTCAAATGATTAAGGAAAGAATGAAATTTCTATTTGCCTCCTGTTCTTGCGATTATTGTTGATGCAAACAGTTTCGATATTTTGCATAAGTTAATCGATTTTTGATTAATTAATTTATATATTTATCGCTTACAACTTATTCAAATGATTAAGGAAAGAATGAAATTTCTATTTGCCTCTTGTTCCTTGCGATTATTGTTGATGCAAACAGTTTCGATATTTTGCATAAGTTAATCGATTTTTGATTAATTAATTTATATATTTATCGCTTACAACTTATTCAAATGATTAAGGAAAGAATGAAATTTCTATTTGCCTCTTGTTCCTTGCGATTATTGTTGATGCAAACAGTTTCGATATTTTGCATAAGTTAATCGATTTTCTCGAACCATTTACGATTACCGCAATTTAGTAATAATCTGGTAATCGGTGAAGTATATTGGTACAGAATGATGAAACACCACTACTGATGGATGAAACGACAAATGCAATAAAGCAAATCGGTTCGCTGCCACGTGAACCATCCATCAAAATCTTGATGGCAACGAGTGTATCTATACCGACTCTATCCACGCCAACAGGATCATAAGGCAATAATCAGTTACTCGATTCGGTTATACTGCCGACGTATAAAATGAAGCAAATGCCCAGAACTCAACGTTAATTTATTTAATGGTTATTTAATAACTTTGGCGTTTCATAGGAATATCATTAATTGCATTCGTAGCAGGGATAAATGTTCTCTTCACATTATTATCTAGTTTATTGCTTTATCAATTGTATTTAGCTCTCATCGCTATTACTTCCACAGGGTGTCTCGAAATTATGTTACTTCCGGGAAACGAGGGGTTCTTGAGGTCATTTCAAGCAACTTTTTCCTTTGCGAAAATGCAATCCGAGGCTTCGTTTACGAGTTATTAACGAAAAACCCTGGCCAATGAGAGGCGAGCGCGGCTGACGCGAAGCGGCGAGCCAATCAGCGGAACTGGGCTTCGACTAACCGCGCTCGCTTCTCATTAGCCAGTGTTTTTCGTTAATAACTCGTAAACGAAGCCTCGGAGAAAATTTTCGCAAAGGAAAAAGTTGCTTCAAATGATCTTAGGAATCCCCCGTTTCCCGGAAATAATTTTGGAACCATCCTGTATAGTCATTGTTGCCTATTTAGTTCTTTACTAATAATAAATTGAAATTCAAGGGAGTGGAAAATGAAAGATTTTAACGGCCGTGTTGTATTCAAAATTTCTTTTATGTTAAACTTACACCAACCACACTTTACAACGGATTGTATTTTTTATGGATCAGTTCGAGAAATCATCCGCACACACTCGAAGTACCATAATGCTCGCAATTTTACTAGCCTTTTATGTGTTCATATCGCCCTCTCCTTTCTCTCTCTCTCGCTCTCTTCGCACGCAACTCGGTCGATGAAAATTCGTTGAAAAATGCAACAAACACCGGGGCAAGGTTTTCTCGATCGGCATAGCGGATGATTTAGCGCATAGGATCCAGAAGGTCGTGCTCAAAAATCACACTTCCTTTTTTACAGCCATCGATGTCGGTAAGTGTCAGTAAGTACAGATGATTTCGTCATCCTGCTAGCGTCCTCCATTTCGTTAATTAGCTAGAATATGTAATCGTTGGGTCGCCGCTGCTCCCATTCGTCCAATGTGATCGCGTATTTACAAATCTATTGATCGTGATAGGCCATAATGTTATTTCACGTTGATGCTCTCGAACCTGACACGCGAATCCGATAAGCCACGGATCGGCGCAACAAAATATTGAAATCTTTCAAGTGGCATCGAACCTGGTCGAATGCCATTTATTTGTATTCTAGAAATTGACTCAGTTCTTGTCGATGTGTATGTTTGTGTGTGTGTGTGTGTGTTTATGCGCGCGTGTGTGTGTGTATATACGTTAGAGATATAAGCAAAAAATGCTAGATCCATTTGCAGTATCACAAATTCGGGATGAATTCGTCGCGCTGATCCGGGCATCGGAGAATTTCGTTCTACGATCCTATTGTAGAATAGACAATCGGTGCTAGATTATGCCGATCCGCGACGATCGCTCCCGGAATATCTTCTATTAACATTTCTAACCTGCCTTCGAAACAATTACGGGTACGAAACGAGAGCGATACTGTCGCGTGACTTTTCTTCGTCGTCATCCGATAATATCTACGTGATTTATTTTTCGTTCTTTCAGAACATACAGCTTACCAAAAGATTCGGACGTTAAATTGGGTATCGCGAACTGCCTAACGACATTTGCCACCCTTTCTCCCCTCCCCTTCGGTGAACTTTAGTACCCAAATTTGGCAGTTTAAAGAGACGTCTGTGCAGACGATCGTCGTTTCATTAACGTCTGTAAGACGATATATATAGTACTCCCATGGTAAAATAAGGTTCAAAAGAGGTTCGTTCGTATTTTTTTTTCTTTTTTTCATTCTATGAAATACGTTCGCTGTTTCAATCGTTTATTGTTTGCGTAGGGTGTCCTGGCTAACGTCACCACCTTGAATATCTTTTTCCATGGTTTCTCTAACTGGATCGTTTAGGACTTTCAATAAATTTCCATTCTCTAAGGCCATTTTACCGCTTTTTTTAGTCTTCGCGCGAGACGGATTCTCTTCGTAAAATAGTAGTCCAACGAATATTACCAACTAGCGGCAAATATTTACAAAAATGGTGACACTCTTCGATGCCGATGATCTTTGAACACGTTGCCGACGATCATCGACACATGATTTACCGTTCGAGATTATACGCGGCGATCGTTGTTCGCGCGAAGAAGTTGCTCGATTTTTACTCAAACGTGTATCCCAAGCTGTCTCGAATCTAAGAAATGCTGAATAAGTTTTGGAAATACGTTTGCGAGTACAGTAACGTCTCTCTAATACATTTTTCTCAGCTATCGAAGGTCATGACGTGTACCACAGTGCTGCGTTCTATAAAATTGGGCAAAATATAGTAATAATATAATATAATAAATATTATAATTAATATTAATTAATTATTAATTAATTAATAATAAATATTATAATATAATTATATAATTTTCAATGTGCAAAAAATAGTCATGGCCTTTAATACGTGAGAAAAGTAACCTTCTTACTTCGTTGAATTAAATAATGTTGTCCAGACATATCTTTTATATCAGTAAAAATAACGAAGAGAAGAGAATTAGAATTTTAGAAATACAGAACGTAGAATTTATCATTTTCACAATTATTTATCATTTTAGCACAATTCCAATTATAACGATAGGCCATTGGTTTAGTTCACTCGAATAGCGTTTGCCAAGATCGTAGAAACTTTGTAGAAGGTACAGTAATGTCTCCCTAACTGACGCTCAGATTGTCCACAGAAATGGACAATTCGGGAAGATGAGATACGATTATTCGTGGCTTGCAGTTTGTTTTTATAAATAATATAAAATATATATAAATATAATAAATATATATTTATATATATTTATTATATTAATTATATTATATATTTATTATATATTTATATATAAATATATAAATATAAAAAGGAGCTGCAAGACTCGAATAATCGTATCTCCTCTTCGCAAATTGTCCATTTTGGCGACAATTAGGGAGACATTACGGTACATCGTTGTCCAGAATAACATCAAAATTCATCTGTGTGATCGCCACATCTCATCTAATTAAATATTTAATAAACAACGACCGCTAAGTAAAACCCTTCGCAATACAATTCATCATCGAAGCGACGACCTCGACAATACGCGGTACATTAAACAATTCGATCGAACAGTGACACCATTTCGCAAATAATTGCCCAACTATATTCCAACTGTCGATTCAATAATTATAACTTCAACGGTCGCGAGCCGTCCGTGGTGCGAATAAATTTCGAGGACGGCCGCCGACGATTCTTCAGCGGAAAATTTCCATCGATCGATCAGTCTCTAGAACCAAACTTCGAATATCTTTTCTTTTTCTCCAATAAATAGGTTCTTCCAAAATCTTTAAAATTCTCGATAAATCGTCGTCCGCATATGTCGTGTACATAGAATAAAATATCTGAAACTTAATTCGCCGCCCCTGGTCGGGGGTGCCATTTTATCTTTCCGAGTCTGCCGCTTGCTTTCCTTCCGGACAGAAAGAGATTCAGGGCAGAGTTTAGCTAAGACGATCCCCGCGGGGATGCCGGACCGCATCCGGTTCCTGTTCTAAATACAAGGGACGACAACGCGGTCTCGGTGTGGCCATTCCTGAGACTGTAGGAACGGTGGTGTTTCGTTCGGCTCGCGCGACAACGAAGCTCCGGCGCGCGCTCACCACGTGTAAGATTACAATTGGAAAGGCACTTGAAACGAAAAGTATGGCATCGAGCTACTACGACGGCAAGGCGTTCCGCGGGGCTCGCGTATCCTCGAATTGACATTAATTCGTATCGCAGTGTCCCTCGAGGTGTCGAAACCTCCTTGTTCGTTTGTTCTTTGGACAGGAGAGAGAGAAAACAAAAAAGACGAGAAGAAAAGAACAGTGGTACGAATTGTGCCTTCGTCTCTTGGCAGAACAGAGATGATACTCGATAAATTCCTTCCCGCCGACGTTGTTTTAAGTAAATCGCTAATGATCTAGACGTCGCGTGTTCCAACCTTTAGCTACCAAGGAGACCGGTCTGCCTGGTAGTCGGTGCCTACTCGTGACCACCTGGACACGTTCTTGCTGAGTATTATCTTTTTCTCTTTGTTATCTTCTATCCCCGGCTCGTCCCACGATTGTTCCGCTTGACGACTCTGCTAATTGTACGGACGACTACGTCTTAGCCGAGTTAGAAAAGACAGTCGTAAACTATCCGAGCCGCGTTTCTTAAACCCGGCAGCTAAATCTATCGAACTCCGATCCGCGTTAGAAGAATCGTTTCTTGAAGCGGCGGATGCGGTGGCAGGTGAGAGACGAGATGTCGCCGGCGGACCGAAGCGTGGGAGCTGCAGAAAGCGACGGCGTCGACATCGAAGTGGAAGATGGTGTCGGCCAAGAATCTCGTTTATCTCGTCGATCTTATTAACAAGGGATCGAAGGACAACGTTGAATCGGCGTGAGTTCGGTGTACGAGTGGCACTCTGCGACGATGAAGGGTCCATTAGCTTCGGAGAATCGGCGCGATACCAGGATCCTGACGAGCATTCATCCTCTCCAGTGGGTTACAACGCGACGGAAACTAGCTACCTTGAATTACGAAACGACGTTTCTCGCACCCTAGGGCGAAACCGTCGACGCTCTCGCGCTTGACGGACGATCTTCCAGCTCGGTAAAATGATGTCGACGTCTAGGTGGTGGGGGTCGTAGCGAAGCGAAGCCGCGCCGATATCTTGCAAGCGGAGCCGTGACGATCGTGGTCTGGCAAATGGGACAATCTTCGCGGATACTGCAACGACTAAGCGCGACTGTTCGCGCGCCGCGAATTAGCCGAATTTCCAGCATCTCGTCGACTACAAAACTCTGGGGAGATAATTATCATCGATCGGTGATACTTTGTCCTAGTAGCAAGGGATGAGCCTGAAGGGGGAAAGCCTTTTTTCAGATAATGCTGCACCGCTTCTCTGTCATCCGTCGCATTGGTTATTCCTCGACGTCACTGTCCCAACGGCGGCCAGGCGGCACTCCAGGATCGATGCAATCTGTGACGAATACGACGACACGGTCCAGCATGTGAGGACATTATCTACAGTGCTGCGTGCCATGGGCTCGACCGCCTCGACACGGCGTAACACGCCTCTTAACAACAGGGTGTCACGCGTACTGTTCACTGCCTGAACTAACGTAGCCCAGGTAAACTCGCCAATAAAAGCCGCCTCATTGGGCCTCATAGCAGCCACGCGTACGATACCAACTGAACTCGGTGATCAGATTCGGACTGACGAACGGTCAAAGACATTTCCCCGGGTTCTGGGAGCACCATTGCGGCCACATCGCCTCCGTCTTCAGTCCACGGCTAGCGAGAAGCTCCACGTGGCTCGCTAATCTCGTGTACACGCTTTCGTCCGTCGAGTAACCGTTGGTCGGCAGGTCGCTCCTGTGTACGAAAACGTATCGTTAATGACATTGTCGAAGAGGGAGTTCGAAGGACTGTTCAACTGTTTTGTAACCAATTATACAGTAATGTCTCTCTAACCGGCGCTCAGATTGTCCACAAAAAATGGACAATTTGGAAAGAGGAGAGATACGATTATTCGAGCCTTGCGGTTCGTTTTTATAGTTACGAATTGTCAAGGTTATGCCAAGGTAATGTAAGGCTCGAATAATCGTATCTCCCCTTCCCAAATTGTCCATTTTTATATGCAATCGGAACGTCAGTTAGGGAGACATTACTGTACTTTTAAATGAGAATGCGAAAGTGCCGCCTTAAAATGTACAGTAACGTCTCCCTAATTCGCACTTAGATTGTGCACAAAAATGGACAATTTGGGAACAGGAGATACGATTATTCTCCAGCAGCTCATTTTTATAGTTGTTGACAATTCGTAACTATAAAAGTGAACCGCATGGCTCGAATAATCGTATCTTCTCTTCTCCTAAATTGTCCATTTTTGTGCACAATCTCAGCGTCGGTTAGGGAGACATTACTGTATTCCAATTTTAGGGAGCTGTGAGATATCCAGTTGGACGAGAATTACTCAACTATCCAGGAACCTCGTGAAACCTCATCAACGTATAAAATAGTTGTAAAATAGAAACTACGGAATACAATACAATATTACACAGCGGTGATGGGGCAGAAGTATAAAATAAATGAGCAATGTGTCTCCATTTCAAAGTTGTGTCGCCTTTGTCATAGTAACATTTGAAGTAAATGTTTTCCATTCTACCGTTGTATCGTGCTACTTTTGCTATTGTAATGTTTACACTGGCACATTGGTGGTGCTTGGAATGTGACGCGGTTGATGATTTCATTGGAGAGACCTCAGAAATGGGATTATACGGTTTAAATTAACAGGTATTATATAATAAGGATAAACTAGGACTATACTGTCAATTATAGTCTCAGTCAATATTAGTCATAGTCAACTAGTCATATTGGTGCCAGTGTAATTATATAATTGACTATAGTTGACTAGTTGACTAGTTGACTATGACTAATATTGACTGAGACTTAGTCATAGTCGACTAGTCATATTGGTGCCACTGGCATATTGGTGTCAGTGTAATCATATAATTGACTATAGCTGACTAGTTGACTAGTTGACTATGACTAATATTAACTGAGAATATAATTGACATTACAGTCCTAGTTTATCCTTACTCTACCTGTTAATTTAATTTTTGGTGCTACTGGCACATTGGTGCCAGTGTAATTATATAATTGACTATAGTTGACTAGTTGACTATGGCTATATGACTAATATTGACTGAGACTTAGTCATAGTCGACTAGTCATATTGGTGCCACTGGCATATTGGTGTCAGTGTAATCATATAATTGACTATAGCTGACTAGTTGACTAGTTGACTATGACTAATATTAACTGAGAATATAATTGACATTACAGTCCTAGTTTATCCTTACTCTACCTGTTAATTTAATTTTTGGTGCTACTGGCACATTGGTGCCAGTGTAATTATATAATTGACTATAGTTGACTAGTTGACTATGGCTAATATTGACTGAAACTATAATTGACATTACAGTCCTAGTTTATCCTCACTATAATACCTATTAATTTAAACCGAATAATCCCATTTCTGAGGTCTCCCCAATGAAATCATCAACCGCATCACATTCCAAGTTCATTCCACATCGCCACTGGTTCCGCGAGATGTAAGAATAGCCGAGTAATTTTCGTTCGCTCGCAAATTAGCATCTCTAATAAATACCCACCATAACCGTTCAGCGAGAGCCGAAGCCCTAGGCCATAGTCGAGGTCCTAAGGAAGCGTCGCCGGTCTGCTCGCTCCAGATCGCCGCCTCGCCGCCGATAACTAAATTCAAATGCTGCTGAGGATAGTCCCTCCACGGACGATGATTGTAAACCGTCTGCCAGGTCCGATACTCTCCGCACGCGGCCTCGCCGGTCTCCCTCCATCTGCCAAATCCGCAGTCCAGATACCAGGCGTCGACATGCGAGACAATCACGCGGAACCCGTCCTCGAGCAGATCCGGTGTCTCCGGCCAGTTACTGCCACCCCACGACTGGATCACGTGGATCTTCGGGTCGAAGTACATGGTGATGTAAGGCCTTTTGGTGAGCGGCGAGCTCCACAATATAACCGCTTTCGGTGTCTCGTCCCGGTTCGCCTTGACTAGCCTCTGCAGCATCTTCGTCTCGAACTCGGCCCACATCGCGTGGTGATCGGTCATGTTCTGCGCCTGCATCGCCGCCGTGATGTTGCCGTACTGCGCCCAGCAGTCGAGGTTCACCTCGTCGCCGCCCAAATGAACGATGTCACGGATCTCGGTCAGGTCGAGCAGCTCCCGGTACAGACCCTCCAATATTCTGTAAGAGTGCTCGTTGATCGGATTCAACTGGCCGCAATTCGGCTCGCCGCAGTACGACGACCACGGCTGCTGGTCGACGCACAGCGCCAGCTCGCCGTATCCGTACTCCGTTCCTGGAACCAAACGTGTCGCGAACGTGTTAACCATTTAGGTACGGCTGAATTCTGCGCGAGGCTATTTCTCTGGACGGCAGAGTCTGATGTGTACTGTACAGAGTCTGGTACTGTATATACAGGGTGTCCAAAAAATGTCTCGCAATCCGAAAGTGGCGGGTTCCTCGGGCCATTCGAAGCAACTTTTTCCTTTACAAAAATTTTCTCCGAGGCACCGTTAACGAGTTATTAACGACAAACAGTGACCAATGAGAGGCGAGCTCGGCTGGCGCGAGGCGATCGAGCCAATGAGCGGAACTGGGCTTCGCGCACTGGTTGACTGGGCCGCCTCGCGTCAGCCGTACTCGATTCTTATTGGTCACTGTTTTTCGTTAATAACTCGTTAACG